GGGCATACTAGGATGTAGGAAGTCTATGGAAGGGCATACTAGGGTGTAAAAGTCTATGGAAGGGCATAATAGGGTGTAAAAGTCTATGGAAGGGCATAATAGGATGTAAAAGTCTATGGAAAGGCATACTAGGATGTAGAAAGTCTATGGAAGGGCATACTAAGATGTAGGAAGTCTATGGAAGGGCATAATAGGATATAAAAATCTTGAGAGAGGCAGATCAAAATGTACAAAATCTAGGAAAGATGCATTTAAAGATGTAAAAATCTATGGAAGAGCATATTGTTGTTGTTTGTTTTAGTATCCAGAAGCCATGAGTTGTTAACCCTTAGGCTCGGTATTATGGATATCGCAACCTTTCGGCCTTGATTCCATTGTAAATACCGTAAATCTGGGAGAAGATGTGGCTTTCCTGCCTACCCCCGGGATTGAACCCGGACCACAAGGAGTACGTCACCCGGTCTCTGCGAAATCCGGTTTAGCCAATTCCGCTAGAGAGCCGGGCGAAGAGCATATTAGGATATAAAAATCTACGGAGGAGCATATATGCTCATGTAGAAATCAAATACAGGCACATTAGGATTTTAACACATACACACAAAAAAGCTATGTGTCGTCGCCACAATGGAATAATAGTTGGCTAGAGTGTACCCCGTGTGGTCTGTGCGGAATATCATCTTTCTCTCTCTCACAGACACACACCAATATTACACAAACTACAACCATCTGTGACACTGTTCATGCCAAACTACCCAAAAAAATTTAACCTTAACCGCATCCTTAAGGAGAAGACCAGTAATGTATAACAAAACAAAAAACAAAAAAAAAAGCAAACAATATTCATCAAGACATGCTTACCAAATGAGCCTGACCTATGACACATGACCTTCCCGCTGGCCTGATCAAATCGTGGTGACGGGTCCTCTAGGGGCTTGGATAAGATGCAGTATGAGGGAGCCATCTCTGGGAACCAGTGTGGTTCAATACAGCACACGCCTGGCACGGGAATTAACAAATTTGAATAAATATGAACATACAAAACCCATGGACAAACAAGCACAGAGACTCCTAGAAAATTACACAGCAAAATTAAGCAATACCCAAACTAACAAAAAAGTAAAAAGTAAAGGACCCTTCTTCACGCCTTTAGTGTGAAGGGCATATAGGGCTAGACCTATATTTCTATTTAAACCAATCAGCACAAGATGGGTAATGTGGTCAGCATCACGCCAGGCGCCTCTACTTCCTGGGACTGCACCCGGTACCTACTCAAGGTTGGGTCGACCAAATGGTCAATACCATGAGATGAACTGTCTGTGCAGTCAGAGTGCATCTGCCTGAGAGGGGAGGAACCAAAAGTCTGCACACAAATAAGCCAGATCTTTAGAGCAAATGTGTGGGCAAAACACAAGTACTGGAACACCAGAAATGGATGAACAACCAGAATGTTCGCCTGGGTTTACAGCCAGTGAATGCTAAGAAGGAGAAGATAATGCGTACGATGTCTGCTACAGTCACAACCTCTGATCTACTTTGCCCCATCGTTGTAACTAAAAAGGTTATTAGAGGTAACCAGACTGACTTCAGGGAATTAGGTTTTATTCCCATTGGCACAGCCTTTCTGTGCAGAGCAACTGGCTGCATCTGTAGGCACAAACTCCGCAGCTCCAGGGATGATCCTGGGTATCTTAAAGAAATGTTGTGAACCAAACAGCGTTTGCCGAAAACACATTTTTGGAGACAAAGAGAGAGGCAAATATCTTCACTTCTCCGCACCCACCTCCCCCCCCCCTCCCTCCCCCCTACACACCTGTAATTAATTGTGTGTCACAAACACCCGTGCACGTGCACACACACAAAGTGAGCTGGGAGAGACCTATATTTACCACCACTTGTAAAGGTGGTGATGGAGGAGGCCTGTGAATGTAAGTGCAGCTACCACAATCTGTGCATGTTAGGATAGTTTTTTTTTTGCCACTGGGAAAAAACATTAGCTCCTTCCCAGTGGCAAAAATAATAATCCTAACGTATAGTTTTTTTTTAAATGCTGAACAGCTTGTATCTTAAATTATTTTTTTTTTTTATTATTTTAAAGATGGACATACCCCTCATATAGAGCCTGGAAGTCTCCAGCATAGATTGGTAAACCACATATTCAATATCTTTATTCTTATAGAGGACTGACTCCGGGTGGATGTAGACCAGGTCCTCCAGCAGCATACACTGGAAGGAGCCCTTGAGCTTCTTGACTTCTGCACTGTCAGTGCCTGGAGGGGGTCCAGGGTTGCACCTGTTTTACAGATAAATCAGAATCATCAGCTTAACATCAGAATGCCACCAGGAACATTGGAACAAGGAAAGATACAACAAGCAAACATATGTACCAGTCTTTCAACTGAAAAGTGTTTCAGATTGTACCAACAGATGTTGAAATATAAAGAAATTTTCAAGATACACATGTGTAAACTCTCTGTAAACAGAAAGACATGGTCAATTCACAACTACCGTGGTACTATTTTAACCTTGTTGCTCTGAGAAGACTAAATCTAGTCACTCGCAGTTGTGGCAGAGTCCTGTCAATACCATTACCAAGCCAGGTCTCCAGTGATCTGTTCTCAAAAAGCATTGGTACTATATACACCTCAGCACTGATTCTTCTCCTTTTTTCTTCACGTTCACTGGCTGTAAAATCCAGTGAAAAGTTCTGGTTGTTCGTCCAGTACTGGGCCCCATTTTTGCTCCAGAACTTGAGTGCTGTGCGCACATTCATTACAGATTGGGGGGGGGGGGGGGGGGGGGGGGGGGGGGGTTATGTTTTCCCTACAATGAGGCCCCAGAACCCATATGGAAAGTGCAGTGTTTAATGGGTCAGAATATGAATATAGTAGTAACTAAAATAGCATTAATGACCTCCGTGGCTTTTTTGAGGCCAAGTTGGTGTCAAATGTTACTGTAAGTCTCAGTGGTGTAGGTCACGGGGTAATTGCATTAGTTAACTGATACATATTGGTGGGTTTTAACGGCAGCCGAGAATGTATTTCGTTTAATGTTTCACTTCATTCCTTTATATATACTGAGAGAAAAAAGGGTGGGGTTGGGAGGGGGGGGGAGGGGGAGACTATAGATACTTTTTTGTTAATTCATTAGTGACCAATATAATGAGTTTTTTTTATTTTATGCAACACCTTTTTAAGGATGAATGCGGAAGATGAAGGATACAAGATAGGTTGGTTTTTTTTTATTCTGCCCCTATTAATTAAAACATGATTACTAGTTTGGTACAATGGGGATCTCAGGATAGGAGTTTCAGGATATAAGGTCAGGCTCACAAACTTGTATGCCCCAGAATACAAGCAGACATCCAGGATGCTAGCCAGATAGACAAAACACGACCACCTCCTTTAACCCACCCACTGACCAGCAGGTTATACCCAATTTTAAAAAACAACTGTACAAAAACGCCTTTTTAAACATTGCTTGAAGTGACTGAGAGTACAAACCTTAACCTACAGGAAGTCAAGAAAGATCACTATAAGACAATGACCTGCCTGAAGATGATTCATATTGCCTGGGAGAGAGAGTTACAGAGGAGACCATGACCCTGGCAATGAAGAAAGTGAGGCAGATGTGGAGGAGATTAAGTGGACAAGTGAGATCAGGGAGATTCTGGGACAGAGGGAGAATGTGACAGCTTATGCCATAAAAAAGGTATCCCCAAAAAGTTGCAACTAGGCGTGCAATTAACCTCTTCAGTGACATATGATCCAAGATTTTTTTTTAATCCTGAAAGATACACATTTGTAAAAATGTCCTGGGAGAGGGGGGGGGGGGGGGGGGGGGGTGGGGGGGGGGTGTGTGTGTAGAGATGGCGTCACGGGGCCCAAAAAAAGGACCAAAACCAGGAAGAAAGATAAAAATTAGGTGTAGTATAATAATGATTAAAAAACGATTCCCTCCAGCGACACCTTCCTAGAAAGTTTCTGCATGGTATTTTATGTAAAGTGAACTTATTTATTAAAATTTGGTTTCATTTTTTTACATATATTATTGTAAGCAATGCAGCTGGTATGATTTATACATAGCTAATAAAAACTAACACTGTAATATTTAGAGGGATGGAAAAAAATAAAATTATTTTCACTAATTTAATGGGGGTGGGGTGTTCTTTCAGAATCAGTGTATTTTACCACAGTGTTCAGTCATGAAACGGATTAAATCTGTATCCTGAAATTCCACTGTATTTCAAAACTTATAAGATCTACATGTCTGTGTCAACAGTAACAGATAAAATGAACATAAACAAACAAAATAAAAATGACAAATATCTTCCAAATTAAATATTAGACAGTGTGTCAATCATTGACAATTCTGTGGAGGCTGCAAAGTAGTGGTTTTATTTATAGTCAATGATGAAATATATGGACAGATTAAAAAAAATGTAACAAAAATATCTTGGGAGAATATTAACTTACTGATACTAACGTCAGAAGGAGACAAATCCACATTCTTTAGTCACATTTGGGGAAGGGGAAAACCCGTAACTGGAATATGTGTCATGAAAAGAGGAAATTTGGCGGGAAAGTGGCTGAGAGAAACCAAAAGAGAGGATGCTGAACAGTTTAGTGGCATCATGGGATAGAGCAGTGGTTCTCAACCTTCCCAATGCCATGAACCTTCAATACGGTTCCTCGTGTTGTGGTGACCCCCAACCACACAATTATTTTCGCCACTACTTCATAACTTCAATGAATATTTCTTTTGGATAGTCTTTGGCGACCCCTGTGAAAGGGTCATTTGACCCAAAAAAGGGTTGCGACCCATGTGTGCAACCCATGTGTTGACAACTGCTGGGATAGGGAAAATCTGTATTTTTTTTTTTAAATTGAAAAAAACTGCTGAAAGTATACGAGACAGAAGGTTGTGGACAGCGATGACTACCAACACCAGATGGCCTGGACTATAAGAAGAAATATTCACACACAAAAATGTATTTCCCATACCTGGCAACGTGATCAGCGAGACCCCCCAAGACCACTTTCCTCAAGATGAGTGCCTGCTCGTCTGAAGGTGGTGGCAGTTTAGGATCTACGACCAGACTGTCATCTTGAAACACTACATTCGCTGCAACAACCAAAGACAGGTGAACTTTAACCTTTAATTCAGTATTTATACATCACCTACAACCAGTGTCATCTTGAAACACTACATTCGCTGCAACAACCAAAGACAGGTGAACTTTAACCTTTAATTCAGTATTTATACATCACCTACAACCAGTGTCATTTTGAAACACTACATTTGATGCAACAATCAAAGACAGGCGAACAAAACCCTTTAATTCAGTATTTACACACCATCTACAACCAGTGTCATTTTGATATACTACATTTGCTCCAACCAAAGACAGGCGAACTTCAACCTTAAATTCAGTATATATCCATCACCTCTGGACAATAGAATTGTAAAAGCTAGTGTTCCAAGCCTTACAATTAATAACAGTAACATCAAAAGAGAAAGCAAACTGAGGTACCTTAGTATCATTTTCAATAGAAGCCTGTCCTTCAGGAATCATGTGGAGGCAGTTGCGGTGAAATGCCAAAAAGGACTCAATGCTCTCAAGATTATGGCAGCAATAGACATGGAACAAAGAATGCAAAGAGTCAGCTGGTGGAACTTGAATGCATACAAAATGAAGCCATGAGGGTGATTCTGGGATGTACAAGAGATACCCCGGTAGTATGTATGCGATATATACTTGCACTGCCTACTATTGCAGATTGGCTCAATGATCTGCAAGCAAAGTTATATCTCAGAGTAGCTGCAGAAAAAAGCACCTCCTGCATGAAGCCCTGAGTAGAGCGAGGGGTCACAGACTGAAAAGAGGAAGGTCTTGGATGGTGTGTTGAGAAATGAGCAGGCAGATATACTAGCTGGTTCTGCATCATTTATTAGTGAACTGATGTACTTACGGGGGTGTTCCGAGTGCTACGATGTTGATTCTTAATTCAACTTTCAACATTCTATCTATCATCTACAACAAGAGTGTCATTTTGATATGCTACATTTGCTCCAACAACTAAAGACAGGTGAACTGTAACTTTAATTCAATTTCTATAGATCAGCAGGCGCTAGTGGCACATGGGTTTGTGTTCTTGCTAGCCAAATTGCTAATAAGAAAAAAAAAAGTTTCACTGCATTCAAATAAATGCACAATTGTTGCCATGAAATGCTAAAGTTACATCTTTGAATAGATACCTGCATTTGTCAGCTGAATTCTCAGTTTTCTGATTTCCCTCATGGCCTTGAACCTGACCCCAAGCTGGGTGCAGAATTCTGGAGAACAGCCTTCAGCTTCACAGGCACCCACCGCAGTCAGGAGTATCATCATGTCACCCAGCAACAGGAAATTACCCTGCAATCATTCAATAATTCTGTTTTACATAAGCACAACTGCAAGAATTAAATCCTGCAATCATTCAATAATTCTGTTTTACATAAGCACAACTGCAAGAATTCAACCCTGCAATCATTAAGTTTTACATAAGCACAACTGCAAGAACTCAACCCTACAATTATTTATGACTAGGTTTTATGTAACCATAAGGAGCACACACAAAATTACCCTGCAGTAATTCAGATTTGGGATTCGGAACTTTGCCCATGTGAACAGGCACCATAAGAATATTGAATATGTGCTACGGACATGCTATTGAATACAGCAGAGAAATCCCAGGTTAAGCCGGGTGGCATTCCAATAAGAAGAAGAAGAACACAGGGGAGCATCCACAGCAGGGGTCCACCGTTCATCAGTAGAAAGATTCCTCATCTATGACTGTTTCGGCCCATTACTTCCTATACAATCTCAGAAGTTGGGCCGACCTGCGTCATGACTCCTGGCCACAATCTTCCCCTGCTGCACTTTACTGGACTCTCGGGCAGGGACAATTTTATATGGTGACTTTGCATCAGGTATTGGTGTTATATTGTCGCTTGGCAGCAAATTAGCCGTCTACCTTCACGACAAGAGTGACAAGCTTATGGTTGGTTCATCAGACAGTTGTTAAGACTTTGGCATTTGGCAGAGAGACACTGGCAGACATTTATCGGACACTCTGGCTTTAGAAACAAGAGAGACCAAAAAAAAACAATAGAAATCAACAGAAACCAAGCTGTATGGATCAGGGACAGACATACATCCCACCACAGACTTCACAGAGGCTTGTGGCCTTCACATCTGAAAACCTTCAGAAGGGAGAACGAAATGAAGATTTATCAATGGGTTTAAGACAACCATAAGAAAAAACAAAATTACAGTGAAATAATTCAACAGTAAGTTTTATACAACTATGAGTTACAAGAAATCACCCTTTAATCATTTATCACTAGTTTTAAGCAAGAGCTTTTTGAGTGATTTTACCACTTGGTCTGGCAATTATATATACATCCAGTGACTCTGTCTCAAACAACACACACTGTGTGAGTTGAGTCAATAATTTATTTATGTACGTTTTTTCTTTAAATTTTCGAAATTTATAAATATGTGCATCGTGTAACTCATGGTGTGACCTCTGTGACGTCTATCACTGATCTTACAGTAAAATGTGATGTCAACTTACTTTTAAAAAAATCCATTTCATTTGAAGGAAACCGCCCCCCCCCCCCCTTCCACTCCATCAATCCCCCATGCTAGTTTTAGTAAATATATTTACATCCTGATCTCATAAACGTCTGCACAAAAGAATGTTGTATAAAATGTGTAAGTGCTGATGAATTCTTACATTTATGAGTGTGCTTGTGCTTTTATAACTTTCTTGTGCTCTTGCTGTTAACTTGTGGGATTTAAACAGTCATTTTCCACATGTGGGTTCCAGGGCACCATTAATGCGGAAAACAAGAACAGACAACAAGCATGTCAATCCAAGCGGCAAGGAACAACCAACTGCATACAAATAAGCCAGCAAAACAAATGTACACACAAAACCCAGGCTCTGGCACAAAGCCAAAGTCCAAATGGACGAACAAGCAGGATGTTCTGCCACAGCTTATAGCTGGTGAGCAAAGAAGAAGAAGACATAGTTATGTACATCCAAGGGTGCAGGTGCTGTTGTTCGGGCGTAAGGATAGTCTTCATATGTTCTAGGTTGTGGCTTAATTGGTGGGGGGGGGGGGGGGGGGGGGGGGGGGGGGGGGGGGGGGGGGAGAGGGGGGGCCATTTCACTGCCTGCCTATCTTTCCCTTCTCAAAGCATTTCAGATGAGTAGGCCAAAAGATGCAAACACTGCAGCCATGTTGTAAATGGGCACAATACATTCAGGTGTTTGGATGTGAATGCAAAAGAAAAAGATTCTGCAAATGATCTGATGACTATTTATGATGCAGTATCCATCCCAGGGTTATAACTAGACTGGGGGAGAACAACTACAATATCTTAAAATGGCAGAGGTGAAGAGGAAAGAAAGGAAAAAGGAAAAAAAGAGGAGAAAGTAAGGAAGAGGAAGATGGAGTAGAAGGAACCTATACTATGTAACTACATTAAGGTGTTAATATATTTAAACATATGATATAAAAACAAAAAAGACGAGAAAAAAATATGAGGTAATTAAATGCTCTGAATCAAGAAAAGTTATTTCAATCAAGGTACAGAATGAAAAAAAAGAATCAAAACTATAAAACACGGTTTAACCCTCATAAAGCAGAAAAATCAGTTTGCAGGACAGTAAACTCACCGCAAGCTTTGAGCGGAACACACTCAGCTTTTCCTTAAATATCTGTAATTTCTCCTTCTGGAAAAAAAAAAGGAATCCAGTAAATGTAACACAGAATATCAGTCCTAGCAAGAAACACCTGCTGACAACAATTTAAAATTTGCTTCATTATGACAAAAAGCATATTATCTTGCAGTCTCTTCAGAGAAGTAAGTTTGTGTTACAGATTCCCACTATTTGTGCTTTCTTAGTCCTTTAAATTGCATTAGCGTCGCTCCCTGCCAGTGAGAGGCATTTTCCTTTCTACTGTCTAAGAACATTGCTAAAGCCTGAGTGGTTCTCTAAGTGCAAACTGATCAGATAACACTGCCTGGCATTTTGTTGCTCAATGTTATTTTTACCATCAACTCTTTCAAAATCCTGTATCTTTCGTACTCTGCAGTTTCTCACAACAGTGTGATCAGATCATTTGGCCATGGCCATTGAGTTACCGTATGTGTCGATTCCTTCCCACCAAATATATGGTTGACACATTCCGTTTCTGGGGACAGCTTTTATTGAGTTTGCTCTCTAGGCAGTTGCAGTCCCCTGCTGACGAGATTCTGTCTTCCTGAGTGGACCGCAGCGATCAAAACATTGCGAAGGCAGCGTGGTCGAGGCTGCCAAAACTATCAGTCATTATCCCGCCCCGACATAGCACAACCACCACAATACACGCTGCTCCCTAGAAAAACACATAGTATTCTGCATTGGAAATGCGCACAAAATAGAAGTCCATGATTATGAAACAGAACAATCCGAGAGAATCGACAGCCAGCGAAAAAAACGTCAAATCATTTGACTATGTATTTTCATGCTCAAAGTTGGCATTACTCTTCAATGGAAGTATTTGTTATTTATGTAAAAGCTATCAAAACGTAGTTAACAATATGAATAATACAGAATACATGGTAATAATAAGAGGGAGAGAAAGAATAAAAACTGTTGCCAAATACAAACACATAAGACGAAAATTAACAGAATGGAAACATTCTATTGGCACAGGAGTTTTTGCCCTTAGGCCCAATGCCATGTAGTGGATTTTACATGTTTTCACAAGAACTGAAACATACAAGTACCTGGGTAAAACTTTAACTACTTCAACATACAAAATAGGAAAAAAATCTAGAATAAAATCTGGAAATAAAGTATACTATGTCCTACAAAATCTGTTAAAAACAATGTTCTATCTTGTATTACCAAAATTACAATATATAAAATGCTGACAAGACCAATTGAAAACTAGAGTACATCTAGAAGAAATAAAGCCTTATTACAAACTTTTAAAATTGTAGACCCATCAAAAGATGCAAACAGCTGAGAATACAGAGTAAGAAGCAACAAGGAAATTCGAAATCTGTTTAAATCCTCAGTAATTACTAGCATCATAAGGGCTAAAATTATGCAACGGTTTGGGCATAGATAGAGAATTGTAGATAAGGGAGACACAAATAATGCGTACTAAAACATATTTTTTTTAAATTTAAATGGGAGTAGAGCACCATGTAGACCAAGACAACAGTGGAGAGATAACATATGGACCAGATCTACAAACATCTACAGTTGGTAACCTGTAAAAGAAGGAAGGTAAATCATTCAAAAAAGTTAAATGGGAGTAGAGCACAAAACAGACCAAGAAGACATCATCTGCCTGAGAGGTGAGAATGATCAACAATCTGCAAACATGTAAACAAGATCTGCAAACAAAAAGTTCTGAAACACGACATAAATCCAGAGGTGGAGAAACAACTTGAACCTGCCGCCAGAATTTCACAGCAAACACACAGAAGAAGAAACACAGACCAACATCCCAACAACTGTAACCACTAGCTCTATTGGTTTCTCATGTGAAAGAAAATGAAGTATACAGATCACTTTATTCTTTAAGAATAAAACTACTACAGAACAGCAAGCCAATCAAAAATTCAAGAAATCATCCTTTCTAAACTTACATTTTCAGCGACATCTGAAGGCTGTATAGAATCAACAAAGATCTCATCCACGGACAGGGCTGCCACCAGAGCCACCACATAAGGCAACACTTTGTACTTCCTGGCCAGTATCAGCATCTTTGCATATCTAGGAGCAACAGGAAATGAGGCCATGCTCATGCCCAGGTCTGATATTACTGGACTCTTCACTGTATTCGCTGTAAAAGAAAAATAATGACAACTGACATTTTTTTTAAAAGTCATTAATGCTTTAATGTTGAATGTTGAATTAAGAATCAGCAACACAGCACTAGGGACACTCCCATAAGCACTTCGTCTCCATCTTCAGCAGCAAGCGGAGAGTTAAAATTCTGATGGTACCAGTAACTGTCTGATTGTATATCTGTCTCACCTTTCTACTGAGTGTCGTGCGTCGGGAAGATCCCCTTGTAACTCCATGCAGTGCCATTATCCTCAAACCTTATTGATCTATCTGTGCCTCGGCACTGTTCACTCGCTCCCAAAGGGCCCTCACAACATCAAGCTTGCCATACATCAGTTCACCACCAAGTGGTGCAGAACCAGCCAGTCTATCTGCCTGCTCATTTCCCCACCACAACATAAAAGATGTGTTGAAAAAAAAAGGTTATTCTACACTCAGATAAACAACTTAAGAGTTCTTTACTAAATGAAACAACATTTTTGACTGTAAAAACCATACCTTTCTTCAAAGCTTTAAATCTGTTGGAAGAACTGCCAACTTTCTGCAGGGCACCCAGTGAGATCAGCAAACTTTCAGCAGCCTGTAGTGAAAAGATATTCAAGCAGTGTTAATTATGTGTATTTTCTATGTGTATCAGAAATATGTTTATTAACATACTCCAAGTCTACATCAAAAATTGTATCAGAAAATGTGAAAGTATTGTTAACATGGCAATGAAAAATTTATTTATGATAACTGTGGGTTTGTTAACGTGGCAAAATCAATGAAAAATTTATTTATGACTACTGAAGGTTTGTTAATGTGGCAGAGTCAATGACAAATTTATTTATGACTACTGAAGGTTTGTTAACATGGCAAAGTCAATGAAAAATTTATTTATGACTACTGAAGTTTGTTAACGTGGCAAAATCAATGAAAAATTTATTCATGATAACTGTGGGTTTGTTAACATGGCAAAATCAATGAAAAATTTATTTATGACTACTGAAGGTTTGTTAATGTGGCAAAATCAATGAAAAATTTATTTATGATAACTGTGGGTTTGTTAACGTGGCAAAATCAATGAAAAATTTATTTATGACTACTGAAGGTTTGTTAACGTGGCAAAATCAATGAAAAATTTATTTATGATAACTGTGGGTTTGTCAACGTTGCAAAATCAATAAAAAATGTATTTTTGACTACTAAAGGTTTGTTAACGTGGCAAAGTCGAAGAAAAATTTATTTATGACTACTGAAGGTTTGTTAACGTGGCAAAGTCAATGAAACATTTATTTATGACTACTGTGGTAAACTCAATAAAAAATTTATTTATGACTGCTGGAGGTTTGTTAACGTGGCAAACTCAATGGATCATTATTTTATTTATGACTGCTGAGTTTGTTAACATGGTAAATCACCAATGGAATATTATTAACTCACCTTTATCTGTTCATCATCAGGAGGTGTTGGGAAAGGAAAATTTGCCACTTTGTCTATTCGCATGCTCTGAAACGTAAACAAGTAAATGAAATAACAGACATGGCTTTGATATTCTATTAGCTTTCTTCACATAAGATTTTTCTTATTTTCCTTTCAGTACTTTTCTTCTTCACATTCACTGGCTGTAAACTCTAGCGGAAAGTTCTGGTTGTTCATCCACTTCTTTCTTGACCTTGGTCTTGTTCCAGAGTTTAGTTTTGAATGCATGTGGGTCTCGTTTACTTGTGTGCAGACTGCTGCTTCTGCACCTCTCAGGCAGATGTACTCTGACTTCAAAAGAAACAGTCCTAATTATTCACCTTTTAATACAGGGTGGTTAGGGTTAGTGCGTTTATTCTTGTCTCCTCTCCTAAAACTGGGCCCTGATTTTGACCAGTAATAAGTAATAAACATCCGGGTCAGAATGATGTAATAATACTTTCAGAGAAAACAACTAAATGCACCATGAAGAATTAAGAAAAGGGAATAATATAAGCAAAGTCCAACAAACACATGGTCAATAGCCTGATAGTTTAAGATGCCCCAGCCGTAACAACTTCAACATCCATGTCAAACACTCAATAAAGAGCAACATAAGGTACGCAATCATTTCATTAATCAGAACCATTTCATTAATCAGAACCATTTCATTAATCAGAACCATTTCATTAATCAGAACCATTTCATTAATCAGAACCATTTCATTAATCAGAACCATTTCATTAATCAGAACCATTTCATTAATCAGAACCATTTCATTAATCAGAACCATTTCATTAATCAGAACCATTTCATTAATCAGAACCATTTCATTAATCAGAACCATTTCATTAATCAGAACTATTTCATTAATCAGAACCATTTCATTAATCAGAACTATTTCATTAATCAGAACCATTTCATTAATCAGAACTATTTCATTAATCAGAACTATTTCATTAATCAGAACCATTTCATTAATCAGAACTATTTCATTAATCAGAACCATTTCATTAATCAGAACCATTTCATTAATCAGAACCATTTCATTAATCAGAACCATTTCATTAATCAGAACCATTTCATTAATCAGAACCATTTCATTAATCAGAACCATTTCATTAATCAGAACCATTTCATTAATCAGAACCATTTCATTAATCAGAACCATTTCATTAATCAGAACCATTTCATTAATCAGAACCATTTCACACAATGCAACATTAGTGTGAAAATGAAAGAGCAAGCTATTTGGAAAAAACTGGCAACAATATAGAATATTTATAATAGGCAGTTACAGAATTCACTTATGAAGAAAATAAGACCAGATCAAGGCAGCCATTAGAACCCATTCCCATTCAGAACAAAAGCCTGAAGACCCAATCAACCTATTCACATACAAGAAACAGACCACTGAATTTAGACTGCGAACCAGGCTCTGCAGCCATATGTAGAAGAAATTAAAGACAGTGGATTCAAAATTGTACCCATGTTGACAGACACCATAGAATGCTGAATATGTGATTTAGACATGCTCTCTACATACAAGAGAAAGTTTCCAGATCTAGCTAGTTGGTATTTTGATGGAAACCATGTTGTGTAGATCAGTGTATGGATCAGTGTATAGATCAGTGTATAGATCAGTGCAGGGATCAATGCAGGGATCATTGCATGGATCAGTGTGTATGGATCAGTGTGTAGATCAGTGTGTGGATCAGCGGAGGGCATGTGTTGCACTATAACCTAATGAGAGGCCTGTGGCCTTCTGATCTGAAAAACCACTGACAGTAAGAATAACAAGAAGAAGCAGAATAAGATAATCATTCCTCTAATATACTTGACATACAGGTACTTCATTCATTTCATTTATACACTGCCCTGTTGTACCATTATGTGTCACACAGGGCTCACAGTACAATTCATCATACTGTTCTATTCAATGCAATAACGCACCTTTGGTCTCTCTCAGTAACATTCACCTTAGGGTTTCTTTTGGACATACTCATTTTTCTTAATCCCTCTATTTCCCATGTCAGTACTGTTTGGCGATTTTCTGCTTGTCTTTTCTTAGAATGTGTCCAAAACAGCCTGTCTTTTAACTGCTGATGTTAGTGGTTGCTCAAACATTTCACATGTCTCTCTACCCCTACCTTTGAATTAATTCCATTTTCTATAGAGGTACTTCACAGACTTTTTTTTAAATATTTTTGTTCAATGTTTTTATTGGTCAAATCCAAGGCTAGTTACTCCATTAATTTTATTTAAATATCACATATGCCTGAGACAAAATGAAACCCTTTTCTCTCTCTCTCTCTCTCTCTCTCTCTCTCTCTCTCTCTCCTACTTCTAGCTTTTTTCACTATAGCGATCTCTTTCCAGCCTTCTGTTTTTTTCATATCTCTCTCTCTCTCTCTCACATATTCATAAACACACTCAACATATTCATATTTTCCTGACTTCTCATACTGGTATGCTAACATTCAAGTCAAGTAGCGCACTAACACCTGCCAGTGCACATTGGACAATGTTGTGAAACAAACGAGACTGAGTGACCAGCTTTCTTCCACATCACCTTACCTTTGTAAATAATTCCTAAACAATTCCGGAAATGGTCAAAGACAAAGGTCAATATAAAATGAATCATACCTTCATTTGTAAAACCAGGTCATCGACAGGCCTTCGTGTAATCTCAGGAGGTGCAAACTTGGCAAAGTCACTAAACACTGCTGATGAATACAGCCTACAGTGCAAATATATTATTTGATTATTACCTTTTATCCTCAACAAATAGTCACAATTTTATGTGATATTTGAAATAGCGGCTACTGGTGGTTAAATCTTATGTGTTGATCAAAATAGTTGCTACTTAAGGTGAAATCTTATATGTTGTTCGAAATAGTTGCTACCGAAGGTAAAATCTTATGTGTTGTTCAAAATAGTTGCTACTGAAGGTGAAATCTTATGTGGTATCCTAAATACTTGCTACTAAATTTACAACTGCCATGTTAAACCTCAGAAAATAAAAATTTTGCGGCTGGTTTGCGAAGTCCTGTGAATGAGATGCAAAGAACTACAACTGGCAATGATTCGTGGGCCACTGACAAAGCCTTCCTCGGCCAGATCTGGCACGCAGGCCACCTGTTGAATAGCCCAATTTTAGAGAGAAATGCAGAACATCCACAACTTAAAATCAATTTCTTCCTTGGTGCTGGAGTAGAGTTGTTTTGCTATTGATTGCTTCTTACAGTATGTTAAGATGCATTGTGACAACAGACTAGCAGGCCCTTAGTGTACAGGTGACGAGTCATCTTCTTCTTCTTCTTATAGTCCATGCCATGTGGCATAGGTAGTCAAGCAATTCACAGCCTTCTGTCTCATGAATTGTCGGTCATTTCTGACGTATCTTCCATGCTATCATGTCAAACAGCCCAGCATCTTCTCTCTTGGTATCCCTGTATCCCTTTTCCCCTCTAACTTTGCCACTGCCAGAATGTACTTCAGTTTTTCCTTCTCATGACATGATCAAAGAATGTAGATTGTCTCCTAGTAATGTGGACAATAAGTTCTTTTCAACAGTGAATATCTTTCAAGACCTCTTCATTACTCTTTTCCTCATGTTCTCAACATTTGTCAATAAAACCACATCTCTGCCACTTCCACATAATTTCTCACTAATCAGTGGACTGTCCATGACACACTAAAGTGTATCAGGATTGGAATTATATAAAGAAAGATTGCACAGAATATCCTTCATTTAGATAAGTGTGTGACGACTTTCAAATATCTAATCCCACGGAGGAAACACTAGCTTCGCTGCACTCTCTATTCTGTTTAAGGGCAGGATGCCTGAGAAAGGTACTGGAACTTTACATCAGTAACCTTCCTAGGATATAGCCAGGAAATGATTCAGCACAGTGCACATCAACAGGCTGTGATTAAGCCTTAATAGGTAATACTTCCTCCAATGGCAATAAGTGTCAAGGCCATTCAATTCAATGCCGAATGGGATATACTTTTTAGATACTCTTGGTCAAAACAGCAAGAAATTCGCATAATTCTTTTGCATCTTTAATACTGTCATTACTAAAATGTTGACCATGAACATGCTTCAGAAAATCACACTTTGTGTTCGTAGAAAAAAGCATTAGGAAGTCACATTTGGCCTCATGCACTGGGATCTATACACTTGGCCATGCTGCCATGAAAGGAAAGTAACGAGCAGACCAACTGACAAGCATTGCATCAACGCATATGGACAGAAATGATATCACCCACACTGTATAGACTAGGCTAGTGGATAACGACGAATCTCTGATGCTGACATGACTGAGTGACATGGGAGTAAAGCATGATGAAGCACGCCTATGCCACTTTCGAGGCTGAGATAGGAGCCACTTGAACCAGCTCCTCATGCGAACAATCATATAAAAGTACCTTGGAGTGGCTGCTACATAAGAGGACTGAGCACACATGGGAATGCTCAATGTGCAGTGACATCAATTGTAAAGGTAAAAAAGGTAAAGTCGGGAGATGTGAACCAGCGTCATTGCACACGGTTATAAACCATAAGTGCTCTGCCACCAGTACGGACAGCTGATAATAAACTGTCCGCCTGAAACTCCGTAGCTACAGCGACATTCCTCCATTCACCCTAGAGTGTAACTCTTGTACCCATTACCTAGAGGCTGGGTTAACCCCGGAAACCACCTGGTTTCGAACACCAGCCGTGGGCTGCAGCGAGTTGCAGCTGGATTTGAAAGCAAGTCTCCTATCGACTGCACTAACGCGGCACCGACATCAACTGCGATAACATAAAACTTATAAAAACAAAAAAATTTATGCATGCTATCTATGTCTGACTGTACCTGTAGCAATGGCCAGGACCTGTGCGACCAGCTCGGCCAGCTCTCTGGTCCGCCGAAGCTTGGGAGACCCATGTCACACGGAAAGTGGACACACCAGTCACCTTGTCATAGAACTTGGTCTTTGTCTGGGAATACAGTCATGAGTGAACACCACAGTTCATAGTAAACAGACAGATATTTGAACAAATAACAAGTGTCTTCTATCTTGGACATATAATAACAGACAATGGCAGAAGTGATATATAAATCAAAAGAGAGAAAAGGAATGGTTAAAAAAAATATCTTCAACAAGATGTGAAACATTAACAGCTAGAGAGTTAAACAACACATTACAAATGAGAACAGTCAAATGTATGTATACTCAAGCCTGCTGTTATGGTGCAGATGTCTGGACAATGAGGAGGCAATTAGACTATCGTACTAAGTCCAAAAGGTTTTGAAAGAAACAGGAGCCCAAAGACAACTTATCACAGACATCAGAAGGAGACAGTCATCATTTTTCGACCATGTTATGAGAAGAGGAAAAATGGAACATGTGGTGACCACTGGAAAGATCTGTGAAAGGAGGGACAGAGGAAGACAACGAGTGAAGATTCTTGGCAGTCTTGTTGCATCGCATGGTGGTGTTTCAGCACACGAACTTATACATGCTGCAGGAGATCACAGATTGTGGAGAGGCATGATCGCCCAAGCCAGTCGGCAAGGCACTTGATGATGACTGAGACTCTGGAGATCTGAATACATAGAAGAAGTATTTCATGGAAGCAAAACATTTAAATACATTTATTTCCAAGAGACCAGAAATGAAAAGAGAGTTGGCTGAAATGATATTTTTAAAAAAAAAATTAAAAAAAAAAGACATAAAAACCACAAAGGGCAAAGTTGAAGATAAGCAAGTAATAAGCAAACAGCAATACAAGTGGGAGGATAACATCAAGAGATAGGGAAACAGCAGTCCGAGAGTGTACGCCCAGGGCAAAAGACACAGGGTGCTGGAGATCCACTGCAGGGAACAGTCACTGTGAAGATGGCACCTCATTATTTCATTTTTGAAATTAACAAGAAAACAAATCAACCTCTGCAAGATGTCTGATGGACTAACATTTTTCTACAGCTCAGAAAACTGAATTCACCATCTTGACAGACAGGTGGATGTGAGACTGAATACACATATCTTGTTTTCTCACAAGCCCTGGTACCTATATCTTTTTTTTTTCCTCACAAGCCCTGGTGCCTACAATATTTTATTTTCTCACAAGCCCTGGTACCTATGATATCTTATTTTCTCACAAGTCCTGGTACCTATGATATTTTTTTTATTTTGTTCTCACAAGCCCTGGTAGCTATGTTATCTTATTTTCTCACAA